GGAGTGATTGATATTCTAAATGGAAAATTCCTTGTATGTGACTTGTTTTCCCATTTGATCCCCATTTAATCAATATTACTTGGATGACTGTACTTGTAATCTTATTGGTTGGTCATGGTTTTGTCCCAGCTCATGAGCACTTGTAAATTTCCATTGGGTCTTATAGTTTTGTCCCACTTTGTACCCACCTCATCACATGGCGTTGCTGTATAAAACATCTTTGAAAAGTGGGATGGGCGGGCAACCCATTCTGTCTCTCTGAGACAGAAGCTTTCTTTCTCTCAATAAAAATTTCCTACTCTTCACTTCCATTGTTCCTAGAATTCATTATTCCATTTTAGAGAACATGAACTTGCATTTCGGATATCTAGTAGGTTTGAGAGTTACATCTCTTTCCCTTATATCAATACCAATGTGTCTAGCAAATATTAAAGATTTATAACAGGGGCCAGAGTATAAGAGCAACAGAATTTCTAATACAGATATGATTGATTTTAGTGTTAACTGTTAGAATTACTTTGAAATTTCTGAAAGTTGAACGTCAATACTCTATAACTTCACAGTCTTTCTGGGGAGATACTTAAAAACAGGGTCATTAATGTGAGAATTTCAAAATAGCTCCCTGTTCATGAAAGCAAAAGCCTAGAAGTGCAAGCAGTAATGTGACTAAATGATACCACGTAAAAAGAATAAATCTCAAGACTAGAGCTGAAAATAATTGACTGAAAATATTTTAAGGAATATCAAGTACTATATATTAATTGTAATTAATCAATTACATATTAATGGAAGCATAACATAAATATTAAATAAAAAGACAATATATATGTCATCATGCGAAGAGGAAAGTAAGGCCATAATAAATGTGGTTACCTCAGGAGGCAGGAGGATATGATGTGAGGGCAGCTACATGGTGAGATGGTGGTTATTGTCACCATGTTGGTAAGGTCCCAGCTCTTACTGGGATGGTGACTTAATATAACTTAAACACATCTAACTAAATAAGTAAACGAAAGAGGCTTACTTATAGACGCTATGATTTGAATATGTTCCCAAGTTATTTGCTGGAAGCATGGATCCCAGTGTGGCAGTGTTGGAGGGGTGGGACCTTTAAGAGGTGGAGTGTATTAGAAATTAGGTCAGGAGGGGCTCCACTCTCATGAATGGGTTAATGCAAGTCACCTGGGTCAGGTCACCTGGGACTGTATAGTTCCCTTGAGAATGTGTTGTTATAAGCAAGCCTAACACCTCCCCAGATCCCTTTTGTATGTATCATTTGTCCACTCACACACACTTCCACCATTGTTATGTCAATCACCATGAGGCCCTCACCAGAACCAAGAGGATGCTTGTGGCATGCTCTTGAGGCTCCAGAACCGAGAGCTAAATGAACCCAGCCTTAGGTATTTTGCTGTAGCAGCAGAATATGGACTAAGACAATGAACAGTAGGAGCAGAACCAAGGATCTGATTAATACAATTTTGTGCACTGGACTCCAAAGGGGGAGGGGAAGTATCATACTTTATGTAGTAATAGAATAACATTTTATGATTATCTTCCCTGGAAAAAATTAAGAATCATATCTGTTGCCCTATATAGTTTTTAAAACAGTCTGTATGCCTTTGTTAGAAATTAAATTTTTAATTTCGAAACAAGCCAATTTGATACCTAATTCTATTTCACATGGTTAGGCTTACTACTGGACTTAAAATTGATGAAGCAGAATTTTTTTTCCTAATGTGAAATATTTAATAGATACCTTTAAAATTTCCAAAAATTTCTAAATTTAAAATTTCACAAACTTCTGAAGAAATAGTTATTAAATTTTAACTTTGGCAAGACTCAAATTTATACAGTTGATAGTTTTAATGTATTATTTTATACAATATTCTGAATTAGTTTTTGTTATATTTTATCATTTAACCCCAAAAGATTATATGACCATTTTTTTTTTTTAACTTGGCAAGTGTCAGATACTAATGAAAAGCCATTTGTTTGTCTTACCTATGAACTGTCAGGTATTTCATTACATGATAAAGTGAAGAAAGAATATTTCAAATATGTTGTATATGCAACTTTTGTCAATTAAAAAATAAAAAAAAAAGGAAGCAGCTCTCAAAGGGCAAAGATTTAATAGCAATGGAGAAAGATGTCACCAGGTCCTATCTGTGATGAATGAAATATATTTTAAGGGTAACTTTAAAAATGTTTGTACATATTTTATAGTAATTTATAATTAAATTTTAGGCATGTTTTCTAGATTCATTTTTAAATGTAATCTGAAGTCTAATTCTCTTTTATAGGACAAAATCTCCAATTCTCACATAAAATTGATTTTGCCTGTTTTGTGAGAGACCAGATAAGAACATTTGTATGTCCTTTTCTGAGAAAGATGAATTTCATGTTACTGTAACCAGGTTTAAGGTTAAAATGTTTAATGTTCCTATGAGAAATGTCCATTAAGAAACCACAACTGCTTTCTATTTATGGTTGCTACTAGAGTCCTGACCATTACATATATCTCAAGTCTAGAAACACAGCCCGTGAGACATTATTTCTATTGATCATGAGAGAAGATATGGCTGGTCTCAACCAGGTCAGCATGGAGGCAGATGCCAGGATGCTGGTAGATCCCCATGCCATCTCTCTCTTCAATGTAGAGTCTAGCTCTATTCAGACATATAAAAGCTAAATGAGTCTCAAAAGCAGAGGTCTGAAACCAGAGTGGCAATATATGAATGTATAATGATACTAATTGGAATACAGAATAACCCTTTATGGTCTTATCAGCATCTGATATTACTGGTTAGGTCTTCTTTATGTCTTTTCTTGGTTTTGGTGTTGTATTAGTCTGCTAGGACTGTCATGACAAAATATCATATCCTGCATGGTTAAACAACCGAAATTTATTTTCTTATGGTTCTGGAGGATGGAAAGCCAAGATAAAGCTGTCAGCAGGTCTGGTTTCTCCTGACGCCTCTTCCTGTGGTTGGCAGATGGCCCTCTTCTGTCCTCCCATGGTCTTCCCTCTGTGAGGGCATCTTTGGTGTGATGCTATGTATTCCTCTTATAAGAACACAAGTCAAATTGAATTAAGGTCCATCATAGTGTTCTGATTTAAAGGCTTTATCTCCAAATACAATCAATCACATTATGAGGGGGTGAGATTTGGAGGCTCCAACATATAAATTTTTAAGGTGACATGATTCAGCCAATAACAGGTAGCATCATTCTTAGTTTTCTCCTATCTTTTTGTTCCTTTCTTTCTGTCTTGTCCTATCCATCTATGACTACCATGTCATCAATCATTTGTCTATGTCCTTTGAAAGCTCTCATCCTTCTCTCAGGCCCTAACTGTAAATGTTCCTTAGGTTCAGTTTCAAATTCTTTGCTGTTCTTACAAACCTCAATCAAGTTGAGTGGAAACAGCATCACAGATGCTGGTGACAGCAAAATACCATTTAAGTTCAAATTCCATCTTCACCACTTATTGGCTTCAAGAGTCATCTGTGTACCAGTTTCTTCATGAGAAAAACTGAAATGTTGGAAGTAGCCACAGAGTTGCCCCAAAGGTTAAACAAACTATTTATATAGTGCTTAGAACAATGACATAGTAAGGGCCATGCAGGTGTCTGTTAAATAAATATGTACAGATTTGAAACTCATGTTTAATTATCTTTTTTTCCCCCATTGTTTACTGGCACATTTTAGGTATAAAATAGTTACATTCATCATTAGGATCTTGTACCATTACATGAGTATCTTGGGTTCTTATTTTTTTCCCCTTCCTTTGCCCTCCCTTCAACCCCTCCACCCTTCCCTATTTGTAAAGACTTTGTTTCCATTTTTTTTCCCTTTTCTCATATTTTTTCTTTTTCCTTCTTTCCTTTCCCCTACCCCTCCCACTTTCCCTGCTCCTTTAGACCTTTTCTTCCTATTACCACAATATCAATTATATATTTTTTAATTATAATATCAAAATTTAGAGGACCTTACCACAGATTTTATAGAATTTAAAAGGATATAGAAAGCATATTACAAAAATCTTAATTATCTTATAATCAACTAATTTAAAATACAGGGCTTTGAGAGTATCAGGTGCTTTTCTGCATAGCATTGATCATTGCAGTTGATTAAATGATTGCCTCAACAAATACTTGTTATTGTAAGATTTATATGAAATTGTCTCATATTAATTATGGGTAGAAAACTAAGTTGTCAGGGAAGAGAAATGTTTCATTTGCTTTATAGTCACTTTGTGAAGCTTCTAATAAGATAAAAAATTCCAAGAGAAAACTTATTTTGCTCATGTATGTAGAATATGACATTTTTCCTTAAGGTGATTTTAAGTAGATTAATGTTTATATATAATTATCTCTAAGTTTTTGTTTTAGAGAACATCATTAACAACTATAGACAAGAAACAAATTATTTGTATTTTTTCTTGTGTTCTGGTTGGTGGCTTATTTCTCCTTGATTTTAAATTCTCATATGATACTAACATGTTTCAGTAATTTTGTGATATAACCAATTAATGTTTATAAAATGATAAACAGTAATACTTTTTTGCCTTTTTATTAGTATGTTTGTAGTACATGCTGATTACACTGTTTGTAGGGAGTTGGTACATGTACATAACACATCTTAATCTTTTTCCATCCCCTTCCCCTCCCTCCTTCCATTTGTTGATCCCTTTCTCATTTGAGAAAGATCTATCTCCCTACTTCCTATTATCTATTTTTTACTTTGCTCTTTATTTATATTTTGGATTTTTCACATAAGAGAAACCATGTGATATTTAAGCCCATGTCTGATCTATTTCATTTAACATTATGGTCTCAAGGCGCAATACCTTTTTAAAATTTTAAACGGTGATACATCTTTGGATGTAAAGTTAATGTCAATGAGCAGCTGAATAAAATCAAACTAGATTGAGATTCACTAGTAGAGCTAGGTAGATGCAGATAATCTGTACGTATATTGCAAAAAACAAAATCAGATCACATTTAAAAACTTTAAAAGTTTATTACGCATACAAAATAACAGTTTTGTATAATTGATAAGAAACAATCTACTGGAAAGGCTGAAAAACTGGCTGAGAGACCTAACCCAAATTAAGAGTTCACCCTATCAGTGAAAGCATGTTCCCTCAGGGAGAGAACAGTTCTGCTGTGACACTTCGATACTTCCTAAACGTGTGTAATTTTTAGAATTAAAGTAATAAAACACTTAAGACAGCAGTTAAACCAAAACTTTAACTCACTTAAGGAGATACACTAAGCAAGGAAATAAACTTCCTGAAGATCTTTCTATCCTGAATATGATAGGATCTCAAAAGCCCATCAGAAACCCCTCCACTGTCAGTTCTAAAGAACAAAGAATAGTGCTGGGGAATCCCCATTCTAAAGCCTTCACAGATAAGGGGCCACAGAGCACTTTAGTTATGTGATAAGGGCTTATAAGTGAAAGTCACTTTTTATCTCCAGCAAATACCACAAATAAAATAAAGTGTTCATATTTTAAAAATATTTTTTTAAAAGGGCCTCACACACATTTGAACAACTCCCACTTATTTTTGGCATTCTCTTGGCAGTGTCAAGTATCAGCATAAGTTCTGAAGGGGCTGGGGACACCTCCTGGCGGCTCTACGGTCGAGGCACTTGTACCCATCATCTGTCACCAGCCAACCGGGGAACAGTGAGGTCTAATGTGCCTGAAGGACCTGCACAGCCCATATACCTGCTAGAACAGATAGAGCCAGTTCACCAGATGGCAGAGTGTGTTCTCCTCCCACAGCAGACAGTGCCTCCAAATCACGGATTGGGAAACAGGAAATAGATTCCTAAATCATACAATTTCCACAACCTTTCTATGATGTATTTACCATCTGATTATAGTCCTCAAATACTTTCATATGTTATCTTAAGAGATTCCAAATTATATGGAAGATGTTTCTGACATTTTTTTTTTTTCCCGGTACTGGGGATTGAACTCAAGACCTTGTGCTTGTGAGACAGGTATGGTGCCACTGAGCTAAATCCCTGGCCCTTGAGATTTTTCTTAGTTCTAATTTTTTCTGCTGGCTTTATATAATTATGTAATATGAAAAAAATCCCAAAATATCAAAATTTATTTACATGTTGCAAAACATTCAGTAACAAAAAATTCTCATCATGAATGATATTAGAGCAGAAATGCTGCCATAATTGAAAATTCACTAATAAAATATGCTTTATGATCTATTTCATGATTTTTCACAAGAAAGGCTTGTCTAAATGTATCAAATATCCTATTACATTCACCTTTATGAGCGCTATACTGTCTTACTCTTCTGAACAGATTCTGGAAGAGAGTTGTGAAGATCATAATGAATCTGTACCATTTCACACCCACCAGGGAACAGTATGCTTGCTTGATTCTTCTAATTATCTTGGAATCGATTATCTTCAATGATAATGGTTCTTCTAGGATAGGATTCCACTTCCACAAATATGTACCGAAATTCATATTCACCGTTCTTTGGATTCTGAAAAAATATATTTTCAGGTGTTATTTCCCTTTCCAGAGCTTAGACAACACTGTGCTCAGAACCACTAATACCTGATGACCCAAATCTCACACCTCTTTAACTTCCACATGCACTGTTCCTTGCTTCCCTGGCTCGGACCCTTCAATGTAGAATTTCACACGTGTGTGTTTCAGCCCATCTTTTACATATTCGATAAAACTGTTGAGACACGAAATAACGTAAGTCAAAAGTTCCTTTCACTTAGAAACTATCCTTGAGCTTTCTAACTTCAAGCAGACTGTGGTACCTGACATGATGCCTTCGACCACGTCTTGTCATCTCCCCGTAGCCTTTAACAGGCTCACCAAAGAAACTGATCACCTGTAGAATAAAGACAACACATCCTTTAGTGGTATTTTTGTTTTTATAAGTTTCTATGGAAATATTTTTTTTTTTTGGTACCAGGAATCGAACTCAGGACCTTGTGCTTGCAAGGGAGGCAGGGGAACCACTGAGCTAAATCCCTGGCCCTGGAAATATTTCTGATAAAAGTATTTTAAGAAAAAAGAAATCAGTAAGTCTAGGGCCCTAGCAAAAATGGTGACTCCAGGGATGAGAAAACTAGAAGTTATTATGCAAATATTACCCCACAGATAATTCAAAAGAATATTTCATGCACAGAGATGTAAACAGTTAACTTTATAGTGTCACTTGTAATTTTGGAACAAAGTAGGTTGAAGTGAAGCTGTTTCCATTCCCTTTACAAAAAATAAAGTGTCCAAATATTTCTCTACCAATACCACACGGTTTGAAGACAAACAGTGTCTGAACACTTTTAATGAAATTTAATGAATGGGTCTAACACTAAAAGCTACGATCAGCATGGCATTTTAAGTGACTAAATACATTAAGAAAAAAACCAAGTTACAATGACACATTTAAAATCAGCCAAGTGTGAACCTGTAATTCTTAATGGAAAAATTTACATGAAGTAAAAATGTAGTTTTTATTCAATTTAATAAGCAAATACCTAGAACCCTGTCTAAAAAATACAAATTTGATGTTAAACTAAAGAGTTTCACCCTCAACTTTGTATAATTTTTCTTTGCTGAGTATCTTCATTTCCCAGCATGAATGAAAAGGAGTAATATGTGTATGATAGATATTTGCTAAAACAAGTAGAGCAACTGCCCAAATAATTTACTTTAATAAATATATGAGTATCAGAATATTAGGATTTTCTGTATTTTGAACAGGCATGGTACCCAGCAGAGAGGGCCCTTAAAAAAAAAGTACTGAAAAAAACTGAATTGTTAAAGTTTAAGAACTACTCATAGAGCTCCTTTAGGTAGCAAATTATCACCTTAATAATAGCTCATTCTTTGTGTTTATTTTATCGGGTTTCGTTTCTTGAAAATGCTGAAAAATATATGTATAATTAGGATGAAAACATCCATATACTAACCTTTGGGTACTTGTGATCAAAGTGTTTCAAATACAGAACAAAGGCCTAATAACATAATCAGAACCGAGCCAGTAGCTCTGCTATGCATTTCACTGGTTTCAGAATTGGTACTTGAATTCTACCTATTCCTCCTCCCCAACATGTTCTCCCTCTTATCAGAGAACTAACCTCGGGATGTGTTCTGCATTTTTCTAAGGCTTTCCCATATATCTTACTAGGACTGGATGAAGAAAAAAGTTCTTTGAAAATCACGTAAAACAAGCCACCTGAAAAATCACAGAACAAGAAGATGAAGCAAAGAAAGAACAAGATGAAAAGTTATGTTGAGATATTCAAGAGTTTTGTAAATGCTGTTTTTTGGTACCTGTAATGCTGATTCCAATGAGTACCACTATTAAGTAGGTGAAATCTTTTCCAGCTTCTTTCACTGCAAAAGAAAGAATGCCAATGAGTTATATGTACGCCTGTCAAAAACCAGTCTGCTCCCAGCTTTGGCATTTCTAGCAGGACACGCAGGAGTCAGGGTCAAAGTGAGTGGCTCCAGTATATTCTCAGCAGCTGTTCTCAAATCTCTCTATGCTTCACAGCTTCAGCAGAATCTTGGAGCAGGGCCTAGGAATCTGTTCTTGTTTTACTTAATATATTAAGTATTATAATATATTATTGCATTTCAATATTAAGTATTATATTACAATATTAAGTATTATTAATATACTATTGTATTACAATACTATTGCCTTGCTTTCTAGGAAGAAGAGATCCTCATCCGGTCCCTCAGAGTAAGAAAAACTACAGCAGATTAGAAACAATGAATCCAGGTTTGGTGGGCACAGATTAACCTTCCCAAATGCCATTATTCCTGCTCCCCCACTGACTGGTACTTAAAATACAGAGAATTGAATTCAAAAGTGGAATCTGCTTGGCCAGGAAGATTTGTGAATTATAAAAGGTTAGAAAATGAAGAATCTACACAGAAGATACACTGTACTTACTTTTTTTCCACACTAATGTACGTGTACATTCTGGGAGCTAAAAAATTCAATCAAGACATTGTTATGGGACAGAGTACAGCAGTACCTTGGTTCATGAATCCTTTTGTTTGCAAACAATTTGGTTTGCAAACAGAAGTGTTTGGCAAAATTTTGTTTCTGTTTGCAAACTCTGCATTAGGTGACAAACAGGACTGCGGCCATCTTTCCCACACAAACACAAACGTGGTCATCTTTTCCAAAATTATAGAACAAATTAAGTTTGTGAACTGAGGTACTACTGTATATATGTATGTACATAATATAGGTATCTTAGCTTCACGTATATGTAAAAGCTACTACAATTACAGTTATTTCACTGATGCTGAAAAAGTGCATTCCCTGCTGATATCATATTTATTAATTTATTCACATTAGGAACCTAGATTTTTTTTTTTCTTTTTTGTTTTTTTGAGGCAGGGTTTTGATGTGTAGTTCAGGTGGGCTTGAACTCACTGTGGAGGCCAGGCTGGCCTTGAACTTGCGGCAACCCTCCTGCCTCAGCCTCCAGAGTGCTGGGATTACAGGTGTGCGCCACCATGCCCTGCTAGTAATCTAGATTTCTTAAATATAAATCTCTTACAGTTTTTTTCAGAAAAGCAAAATTTTTAAGTTTGTTATTGTTTTCTCCTCTTTTTGTATCATAAACTTCTATTACTTTACAATATTTTATTTAAAAATAGTCTTCAGCATGGCACAATTCTTCAAATTTTCAGTACTGATTCCAAACCTAAAAGATGTGATTCAAACACTAAAAAAATACATCTGTTAAAATCTGTATAATTCGTAAGATTAATCTAATCAATGACTGTCACCACAAACTTGATATTCAGATTCAGGTGTTGAGAGGCCTACCATGACAGTATCTCTCATTCCATTCTCCATTAATGCCATAAATACATGTGATGGTTAGGGTGGAGTTTCAACTTGATTGGCTTTGGGATTGGTCCTGGGGATTGGTGGAGCACACTTCTACAAGTGTATGGGTAGGTCATGGAGGTGTGGCTTTGAGATCTGTTTGATTCTTTGCCCCTTCCTCTCTGACACTCTCCTCCTCCACTGTCCTGAAATAATTATCTTTGTTCTACGTACCCTCCACCGTGATGTTACCACTTTGGAGCCAGCGAACTACAGACTGAGACTGTGAGCCAAATTATACTCCTCCTTTAAGGTGGATGGGGGGAGTTGTGTCCAGCAATGGAAACATAACTAATATACTTCAACAAATAGTAACTGCCAGCTCTGTGCTCAAGCCCCAACTTTATAGTATTGTTATCTTACAGCTGTCTCCAATAGAGACATTGTTCATCTTCCTCTTCTTGACCTCTCAGACCTAGTAATTTCATAAAAAACAAGCAAGCAAAAACAAAAACAAAAATACTCATCTATTTGTTTCTTTGCCCTTTAGTGGGTGTCCCCAGCTGCAGGGAGTAGTAGCTGCCTGTTCTCAGCTGAGCTCCTCTTTGGGCATTTCTTTATCCAAAGAGAGCATCCTTACTTTATCATAGCTCTTCCCTGTGCCTGTCCATACTCAGAGCTCCCCCAGGGACTGGCAGAGGCCCCTACTGCATACAGATGTGAGTTCCTTCTTCTGCCCAGTCCTGCTTCCCCTGACCTTCAACATGTGCTTCGACAACAAACTTCTTTACCTAAATTTCACTGTGTCTATGTCCCTGGCAAGGTAAGCTACAGGAGGTACTATGAAGAATGGTCTGATAAAGCAGCTCCAAATTGGGACTTTGGAGCTTAATCACTAGATACTTGCTAGCAACAAGGAGCATTAACAAGTCCAAACATGCAGCTGTACTACACCTGTTGCGTTGTTACCCAGGACTGGTGAATATTCCATCCTGGTAAGACAGAAGGCACTAGGAGTTCCTACTTTGGCAATTTTGGAGGAATAAGCAATTTTAGGACAGTGGGTATGGATGGGACATGGGGAAGGACGCTGAGAAGATAAGGGGAATCCCCAGTGAAGTTGAAGAGAGAAAGGCAGATGCTCCCTTGATGCCACAAAAAATTAATGGGCTGCACTCAGAAGGAAGAAAATGGTGTGGATCAGGCCCAGGGCATCAGAGCAGCAGAAAGCCCAGTATTTCAAGCCTATCAAATTTTCTATGTGAGGACTAGGTTTTGATTTGGGAGGAAAGGAAACCTAAAGCTTGGTACCGAAATACTGAGGTTAATGTTCTCAAAAATATGCAATCTTCAGATTCTTCTGAAACTTCTGAGCTTGAAGAAGTGACTTATTCCTCTTCATTAAAGGTCAGCATGTCTTCCTCCTTGATGAGTAGGTGGCAATTTCTGCCTAGCAAGACATGTGCTCCCCACAGGAAGTCTCTCCACCTTTCTCTCCTGCAGCCCAAGGACAACACAACTGGGTGTGAGACGGGAAGAAAGGGATAATACTTTCAAGAAGCTTGGAGAACATACATAGTATGTGATTGTCCCTTAAAGGGCATCAAGGAGCTGGCACAATGGCACAAACCTGTATACCCAATACTCTGGGAGGCTGAAGCAGAAGGTTCCCAAATTCAAGCCCAGCCTGGGCAACTTAGTAAAACTGTACCTCAAAATAAAAGTAAATAAAAGGCTGGGGATATAGTTCAGTATGGGCCCTGGGTTCAATCCCTAGTCCCGAAAAAAAAAAAAAAAAAAGTTTATCAAGGATCAGACTACTGGCAAAGTGAAGGTTGATCTGCATGGAGGGCGGAGCGCCACCCTACTTAGTGATGAAGAATTTACCAATGAAGAAAGCACCTAGAAAATTGATATACAGCTAGGTTTGCTCTTGGAAACGATGATGGCCCACATTAAGTGAAAATGAAAATGACCGAATTGACATGGCAAATTGGAGAAAGGCACACCAGCCTGAGAGGGGACACACTAGAGTAGATATAAGATGGAAAGCCTCAAAACCCACTAGCTGACCACATTTCCTAGCTGGTTGGAGGACACTTTGCCAAAACCAAATGGAAGCCATAAGTACATCTTTACAGGGCACGATTCCCTCACAGCTCCAAGATGAAAGAATCCTGAAAGACAGACAAAGTCATTGTATTTAACATTCAGAAGCCAGGTAGGTACAACTATGCTAATAAGTGGTAAGGATGAGTGGCAGCCAAGGGTGTCTGATTTGTAAAGAGCACCACAGATGATTACAACATGGTGTTCCCAAGGGCAAGACTAATGGGCAGCTGAGGATACTGCTCAATTATATAATCATGATAATTAATTAAGAACAATCAAGAGGCTGAAGGCAATTGCTCTAATGTAAAGTTATGATCACTGCCACACTTTCTGGTCCTGAACAAGTTTCCAGACCTGGAAGCCATTTACTGAAGGAAGGACCATTCCTTCTGAGCAACGTGAGGAAGATGATTCCACTGGTGCTTCAGTAAAGGGACCTACTGCCATTAACTTGGGCACAGAGTCTACACCAACAAAAATTCTCAAGGATCCAGAGTCATCCAAAGAGTGAAATCCCTGTTAGGTGTGTGGGGGGCTATGTAACAAAGTCACTTGTAATAGACTTACAGCTGGATCCAGGGATTTTGCTGGTAGTCAATTCCCTGATTTCCAAATAACTGGAACAGATACTGTATAGTCATTAATAACAGCAACAACCATAACCCCTACTTTACTTTGAGGTAGATAAAGAGCTATCATAGTGGAAAAAAGTTGAATAAAAGCCACTGAAATTCTTCTTGCTGATCAAGACAGTAAATTAAAAAAAAAAATTACATCTATGAAGGAATGGCAAAGATGGTGCTACTCTTAATGACCTAATGATACAGGAGTGGTGGCTGCTGACGTATTCCTATGTAAGTTACCAGTCTTCCCCTTCAAAAACCAAGTAAGGGCTAGAGAATAAATGTAGATCAATGCAATCTCAACCAAGCGGTAGCTTCCACATAAATGCAATGCCAGATATGAGAACATCATGGGAGCACATTAACACAGGCTCTTGGCACTGATGCTGAAGGATGCTTTATAGCTCTATTGAAAAGCAGCAGCAGTGGTAGTAGCAACATGAAAGAGAGCAGTATTTGTGGTCTTGTCTAGGATTTGATAATTCTCCCAGTCTCTTTATATATAGTCTTATGGAACTGAAACCTTCTGGTCCTGGGCTGTTCAGTAGAATAGCTACTAGCCACTTATGGTTAAATAAGTTTAATTTTAAATTAAAATTAAGTTCCTTGGTCACACTAGCTACATTTCAAATGCTCAAAAGCCACTTGTGGCCAGTGGCTATGATACTGGACAACAAAAATACAGAATATTTCCATCACTGCAGAAAATTTTGTTTGGATGCTATTCTGGACATTGAGCAGAAGAATATCACATCTGTCTACTATATCAATGTCACCATATTTGCGCTAAGGAACAAGTGCTAAGTGTGTCAGAGGGCTTGGTAAGGTGTGTGTTCCAAATGTGAGAGATGGGCTTGATAAGATTCAGAGACTCAGCAAACCATTTGTGAGACTTGCAGGGGTAAACTCTCTGAGGCATGCTGGGAGATCCTATTCCAAGTAAAAGACAAACTATTGCATCCTTTGGCTCTCATCATAATGCTTGATCAAACTTTTTGGATTCTACAGGCAACATATTCTATACTTGGGAATACTCTTCCCATTAATTCACTAAGCTGCTAGGAAGGAAGGTTGTCACCTTTGGACGGGGTCTAAAAGGAAAGGGCTCTGCAGAAGGCCCAGCCTGCAGTGCAAACAGCTCTGTTGCTTCAGCCAAATGACTCAACACACATGTCATTTGATAATTGTATATCTTTCACCTCAGCATATGGACTGTTCTTTTGTGCTGAATTACTATCATAATGAAAATCTTGGTGTGTGTGTGTATATATATATACATATACATATACATATATATATATATATATAGTGAGACCTGAGTAACTCCATTTTAAAATTTGGCCCCATCTTAGAGTAAGGTGGCCTGGACATAAATTCTAGTTCCAAGAAAAACCACAAGATGTACTTTGGCCACCTGCCTGTGATAATGTTCAGCAGTCCCCTAGCAACTAGCCTAGCAACAGCTAATCAGTAGCTCCCTCAATGTCCCAGATGGTCTTCTCATGGCCTGCGACAGCTAATCAGTAGTTACCCCAATACCCCCAGTATCCCAGATGTTCTTTTCGATGACTTGAGCAGCCGTTTGCAGTTCAGCGCGCAAGGCCCAACCAATTAGGTTTAAACTTGCTAAATGCTAGCCAATCGTATGATGTGCGTGTGATTTGAAACCCCGCGCCTTGCTGTAACCTCTATAAAAACCCCTGGTGTTTTAGAGTCGGGGCTGTCAATCCTGACCCGCTGCGTCGGTGTCAGATGAGAGTCCCTGCTCGAGCTTGAATAAACGACCCTAGTGCGTTTGCATTGGAATCGGCTCCTTGGTGGTCTTTGGGGACCTCGCGATCTGGGAACAACAATATATACTTTTTTTTTTGGTACCGGGAATCGAACTCAGGTCCTTGCGCTTGCGCAGCAGGCGGAGAAACCACTGAGCTAAATCCCCAGCCTCTTGGATTATATTTTTAACATACTCAGCAGATTACAAAACAACTGATAGGATATCAATTTTTATGTTAAAAATGAAAAAGTATATACACTGAAATAACTAAAATATAAATGTCATCTTTGTGTGGTATAATAATGGGGGTCTGAATTGCTTTCTTTGCCTCCTTTTGTTATATTCTTAAAATGACTTGTAAAATGAAGAAATAAAAAATTTAAATAGTTGTGAAAACATTTCATTTTCCCCAAGAAAATTACATTTCACCCCCCCCCCCCGCTCAGTGTGTTCTATTACCGCACCTAAAGTGTCTGAGGAAAACGGATGTTTAGACATTTTTAATTTTGTAGTCTATAATATCTAATTCAGGATCTGGAAATAAAATCAGTGTTTCAATAGAAAATCTTATCGAGCTGAACTACAAAACCTTATTATGACTGAATAACCTCTTCTATTTATACTACAATTACTCTTCACATATATGTATTATAACACAAGTTGATAAAAATTTTCTAGACACAACGTAATAGTTATATCACAATCAAAGTCAACTTTCAAATCCGAGTTCAAATTTGTGAAATTGTAGGTCTATGCTCTCCCGTTGTAAACTGTCTTTAACGGACATACTTTTTAATTTGTGTGAACTGACTTCTCAATTTAGTTGTAAACTTGGGACAAAGAAAGGTCATTGGCAGGTCTCGTCAGGTTGGATGGAGGACTGGACACTACAAATATTTTTACCTTTCTGAGTCGTTGGCATAGCGGTTTCCCCTCTCTGACCTCTGTGTACAGATACTTGCTTGCGGCTGTCCTCTGCTTTCTGGGGTCGCGGTCCCTGCGTCCAGATAGTTTTCTGGGGCACTCCAAAGATAGATCCAGATAGCACCATTTTCTTCTGGCCTCGAAGCCCCCATCTCAAACTGGGCTCAGTCGTAAAGCAAGCTTTGTTAAGCGCAAAGTGCGGCAACAACAATCGTCTCCCAGAGGATCTGTGCAGCTTTTCTGCATACTGTATAGCTCGTAAAAAAGTACCAATCATGTTTAAAGAAAACTTCAGCGTAGTGACGATGCTAACTAGAGTCAGCAAAGATTTACCACCCAGCCAGATACGTACTGAAATTCACACATTTGCATTACAGGAGCTTTAGGTTTATAGTGACAAAAAGTCTCCTGAGAGAATGTTCATCTTCCTTTTGTCCTCTTGTTATATGAATTAAAATGTCCGAATTACCTCCCACGCTGACATTCGCAGTTTCCCCGCCATACCTTCGCAAAGCAGCCTGGGAATCTTCCAGGCATTCTGGGAAGCAGAGTTTAAGGACTTTACACTTAACCAAGTGGGCGCAGAGCCTAAGGAAGGAGGGACTACACCTCCCACAATGCAAGGCAGCCAGAGCCCGTCAGCCTGACACCTCCCTGACACTTCCCAGACGCCTTGGTGGGGGTAGCTTCGAACTCATTGTTCTTCCTTCTAGCTGCATTGGGCGGGGCCTTGTGGCTGAAGTTGTTCCTCAGTGTTTGGGCACCTCAACCAGACCTTGCACAAGTTAAATGAGCAGCTGTAAAACTGCGTGTTTTAGTGACTTTTCTGAAGAGGATTGTGCCATCTGGGAAGTCCTTCGTCTTATTTAGCTTTGCTATACTTTATGGGCAAATGATTTGGTTTCTGAGTTTCGATTTTCTCTCAAAAACCCAAACAGCCAACAGGGCGAACGGGGTCGCCACAAAGCAGGGGCGAGTGTCGTAAACTCCCCGGCTTTATGGAGACTGGCGCCCTTGGCGTCCTTAAAGCAGGGCCGGCCCCGGAAGTGTCTAGAAGTGGTTTCCAGGGCTAGAGAGGGGACTGCTCTCCGGAATGCTTAGTGCGCATGTACGAGCTCTGTCGCCCGTCTGCGCACGCGCGCGAGGGCCCGGGGGCGGTGTTTTCCGGAGCGGACTAGTACCTGCGCTGTATCAGCTAGGTCTCTATGGCGACTGGACGCGGTCCGCCCCCGTGGCACCGCTTGCAGGGCCTGCGAGAGCCGCGGGAACCCCTTCGTGGCGGCGGCGCGGCCTGGGGCACAACAGGGGCTGCGGCTGGGCGCACCGGGGCCTCCCGTTTCAGGTGACCGTCAGGGCCCGAGGGCGGAGTCCGTCTATGAGGTAGCCCCTCACAGGCCTCGCCTCGCATTCGCGAGTGTTATTGGTCCGGCTCTGGCACGTGACTCAGTTTTTTTTTTTTCCTTAACGCGGGAAAGGTCGAAAGAACAACTGAAGAAAATTTCACCCTGGAAACGTCGTTTCCAGGCTTCGTAGAGTAGCTCCCCAGGAGTATTCTTCGCAGTCTGTCTATTGTTAGTACGCCCTGTAGGAATCCCCTGTACCTGCCTGGCATCGACAACCCCTAGTCCAACGGCGAGGCGCTGAGGGCGAGCTTCCCAGACCAGTCCCAAAGTTTGTTGGGCTCCGCCCCTGCTACTAGTCTAGTCGCGGTTCTAGAACTGGAGTCACACTGCGTCTTTTTCAATGACTACTGGCTTAGAGAAGTAGACTATACCCATACAGAACTTACCGAGTTTCTCTTCCGCCCACGACTCGGGAACCGGGGGCGCACGTTCACCTTTCCGGGAGCGGACTCCTGGCGGGTGGGGGTGGGGCGTGTGCTTCTGGGCACGTCTGTATCTCTGTGCACGGCCAAATTGTTTTCTAGATAGCCACGTCTTGGTGCTCAACTCGCCACCCTCCACCACATGTCTCCTGCCTAAGTGTCGGGGACCTATTTTGTCTCTGCCATTTCTCAGGGGCTCTGAAGAGTCGTCCTCTCCTACAGCGAGAGGAGAGAAGGCAACTTGAGGAGATGGGAAAGGGGCGGGAAGCAGTAGGCTGCGTCTTCTTTCAGAAATATCTTTAGCGTAATTTAAAGTAAAGTGAGGCAGTGTGTTAAAATATCAACATATGGTAGTGGTTACTCAGTCCCACTCATTTTATCAGAAGATATTTCTAGCCCTGTACCCATTACTCTAGTTAACCAGGTGGAGGTAAGGCTAAGAATTTATATTTTTGAGGATTGTGTTTTTGTTCCTGAACTCCTTGATCTACAGGTGTAAAAAGTCATCCATATTTTGCTTTTTGGTAAATGTCCATGTTTAAGCATAAAAAAAGATTCTATATTGTTTCAACTAAAGTCTCTCCCTACCCCCATCTCTAGGATTCTGTTTTTGTCCTCCCTAAGTCTCTGTTAACCCCATTTACTTTGGTTTCAAAAGCACAGCCCTGTTCCTTCCTGTAATAGTTGTTGTTGTTATTATTATTATCATTATTATTATTATTATTATTATTATTATTACTGTTAGTACTAGGATTTGAATTTAGGGAGCACTGAGCTCTATCCTTAGCCCTCTTAAAATTGTTTTAATTTTGAGACTGGGTCTCACTAGCCCAGGTTAGCTTCAACACTTGGAACCCTCCTGCCTCAACCCCCCTCACCCCACATTGAGATTACAGGAATAGTTGGGATTACAGGCGCGCACCACCGTGCCCAGCTCGATAATAGTTCTTGCTTGAATAGCTATATGCTAGACAAACCGCAAGTCTTGTGCTATAAAATTGTAGCAATGCCTGCAAAAATTCTATTATATAGAAGAGAAAGACTGGCTTTTAAATAGGAAGTTTGAACTTTAAATCAATTTGTCACTTTTACTAAAGTAAGTAATCAGTGCTGTTAAAGTGAAGCAGAATGCTTTTTATATGATGAGTTGAGTGCACTTCCTGGTGGAATGATGTAATTAAAGTGCCTGTCATTTATGCCTACCATGGGAACTTGCATTTCAACCTGTGATTTGAACGTGTCTAAATTTTTGGTAAATTCAGCTGCTAAGAATAAATGACTGCATAGTTTAAGAAGGTGACTTTTTAATGGCTCTTTTCGGGAAATTAGATATTAATAAATCATCTTTAACACAAAATATGAATGTGTCTAAATATCACAAATTCTAAGAAATCTAGCAGTAAATATCAAGTTAGCTTTTTACGTAGACTAATTGATTTGATTTACTAGATACTAAAAATCAGGCACAGAAATTAGATATTAAAATACTGAACTTATTTAAAGCTTTTAGGGAAAAATATGTCACTTAAAAAGTGTTTTAAAACTAACTAATATCTGACTTAAAGAATATTAGACATGACTATAAGAGGACATGCATGCAATTTAATTTACTAATTTGTTTTTTTCTATTTGTTTAAAAACTTCATTTTTATTAGTACACGCTTGCAATACAGAGTGATTACATTTACTGTGGGGAATTGGCACATGTACCTAACACATCTCAATTCTATCTCCCCCCTCCCCTCCATTACCAATTTGTTGAATGCGAGTCCTTAGCACTGTGCAGTTGGTTTTAGGGAGAAATGGGATTGTACTTTCAATAGTGCCAAAAGTTACATTGATGTGATATAAAAAAATCCAAGATAGGGAAAATGAGCTCTGGAAAGATAAGAAATGAGGGTCTTGGGGCCTTTCTGCCTTCACCTTGGAACTTTAAGTCTCTTTAATGGCCTAATTAGAGCCTTAGTACTATTTGTGAAATGAGGGACTACATGAAATCTATTTCAATTGTGGACAAACAAAACAGCACAAAATAAACTTTAACATTTTTAAAGTATTCAGATATCTTTGTAATAAAAATAACCTTTATTTTACGATTAAGTAGAGAAAGATGCAGACGTTTTGAAGCATTTAGCACATTACCTTTTACAGAGTATGTCTTTAAGAAGTATTTGTAGAATTGAATAAATCCTGTTAAATGTTTTAGTCAAAGATGTTGGTATATTCATTTGCTATTATTAGATTAGAGATTCAGATTAGAGAAGAGCCTTTGGTACCTTTCATTTTTTTCTTTTAAAATAGTACCAAATAGAACTTACCTGTTATTTAAAATTATCTTTTAGAGAGTTACAGCTGGATTTTGTGGCTCCCACTAATATTATATATAGTTTATACACAGATATATATACAAAACAGGTAACTTTATTCACTTCATGTAAGCTTTCCCAATAGGCTTTCATAAATTCTGAATATATAAGTTAATCTTCTCAGTAAGAGCTTGCTGGATTGTGCCAGTATGTATTCCTTGAAATAGCTGATCATTCTAACATTATGCTTCTCAAAAGGATAGGTGGCAGTGGGTAGGGATACGTAGGGCCTCTTTCTCATGTAAAATTAATACAAAGGCTTTGGAGGGAAATATTAAGTAGCTTAAATGGTAATTTTTATAAGCAAAGATAAATTATTGTGTAGAATGCAGTAAATACCTGCACTAATTTTTAAGATGAAGTGAGAGATTTGTAAGAAGTTTCGAGTTGGCTGCAGACTTGTGGCATTAGTTGTGAAGGACTCAGTTTCAATTTCTTTAGGGTTACTCTGAGAACCAGTGCTTCAGTCTAAAGGATTGTGGGTCACATTGGCTCCTAACCTTCTTGTACATGAGGCTCTCAGTTCTGAAATTAAAGCAAGAACCACCTCCAAAATTTATTGTGTATTCAGTGTATTAAGAAAAATTAGAAACATAACATGGAATATTAAAAGCCGCCACCATCAATCTTGTAATTCTGTTAAGTGTTAATACCTTGTCTTTCCTTTTAGAACTTTTCTTTGTATGCTGTTTACTTTTTCTTTTAGAGAAGTACAAAAATAAGCTTTTGTAGTGTATACTGATATGATCTGCTTTTTCATTTAACACTTTTTAAATTTAGCATGTATATTGAATGCTATCTGCATGCCAGACATATTGTGGGTGCTGAAGAGTTAGCACTGTACAAAACTCATATAATGTCCCTGCTCATGTGGAACCTACATTACAATGATAATAAACAAGACAGTGTTGGGTGGTGTTATGTGCTAAGGAGAAAAAAAGAGCAAAAGGACAGAGAGGGTATGTATATAGGACCTGGATTGCAGTTTTACGTGGCATAGCCAAGGTGGGTGTCAGTGTGATGGTGGTATTTGAGTGAGTGTCTGAAGGAGGTGAGGGAGTAAGTCATGCAGATACCTGCAAGACAACTTGGACCTGTTTCTATTTCAAACACTTTCACCTGTGTTGAAATTGCATTCTCATTGACTGAAAATTGACTGTGGAGGCCATTTAACATAACTAATTCTTATGCAGGTTCTAAGTGTTTTTTCCCAGTGAAGACAACTTTGAGGTGGACATGCCTGAGTGAACCATCTGGGCATATATATATTTATATATATAAATATATATATACAAATATATAAATATATTTATATACAAATATATAAATATATATAAAAATATATAAATATATATATATATATTTTTTTTTGACCTTGAGTGTATTTTAGAAGTGGAATTCCTGGCTTAAAAAATGTGTGTGCTTTTTAAGGATCTTGGATCACACCAGCCAGATTTGGCTTTTCATAAGGTTTGTACTTCCCAGAAATGAGGAAGAATGGTGGAACACAGGCAACATGTCTTTATCATTTATTTAGTCTTTGCCAATTTGTCAGATTAAAATTGATAATTTTCTTTGGTTGTCTTGGGCTGGGCTAAGGCAAAATAATTTTTATTTTTCTAGCATCTTTTGATTGAGGAAATACATAATGACAAAAAGCTGTCACTAATTTAGTAATGATTTGAAGATAAATTTATATTTGATTAAAACAGTAGCTTTCATTTCTTTCAAAGCAATGGTATATATTAGTGAGAAACATCACTCAGTGTTCATACAGTGTTTAGTGTATGGATGGTCTCACAGACTTCTTGATACAACACTTCATAGAACCATAGGTCCAAGTGTCACAGTTAGGATCTACTTATTGAAATTATTATTATTTCACGGAAGAGTAATAGAAATTCCTTTTACTTAAAGTTTAAATGCTAAGAACCTTTGTCAATTGAAGATATTTTATCTTTGAATATAGGTCAATGTAGAATTTACATAACACAGAGTTCTCTGATTTAAGGGAGGGGCCATTTCGAAAAGTTTAAATCCACCTCTCTTCCCGTGCTCTTTCCCTCTTCTTGCTCTGTAGGGTGCAGGTTGAGAACCATCTTTTTGGAGTAACTTGAAAACAGTGACTAGGAAGTCAGATAAGACAAAAAGTGCATTGAACCTTTTCTTCCAGAGCTGGAATGGAGTGGCTCTGTAGCCAGCATTTTTCACTGCAGTTCATTTGTTACTCTCCAGGATCTGGGGAAGTTTACCTTATTCAGCCGCTCCTATGTTGAGAGATACCAGTATGCAGATTGTAGGTAGTATTTATGGAGGGCTCCCCAGGTGCCAGCCATTCTGCTTGTTTCTAAAGAGGAAAATCTACTGAAGGAAGAGAAACTCATTTGCCACCTGCTCAGAGCACATGGAAATTGTGCTTACTGAGCATGGCAAATAGGTGCTGCTGGGTGATTTGGCATACAAACACCATGGTATACCACCTCTGCAGTAGGCACCAGGCTGTGTTGTCACCCTTGGATAAACTGAGGCTTTGTGTGAGGGTTCTCATGTCTCCTAATGGCAGAATATGCTTGGAGTTGAGGGCCATCTTCTGTTATGATCCATTATGTGTGGAATTGATACTTAAGCGACTAGAGGGTTAATCAGCCCTCATTTGAAGTTCTTAGGACCTCTTACTTTTGTTTCCAATTATTGCCCACATCCTTTTTGAGTGTTAGTTCAAATACATCTGGGGAATCAGCCTGGTACAAAATACTGAGCATGGTTAAATTCTTTTATTTTTGTTCAGTCTGGCCTTGAACTCACTACGTAGCCCAGGCTAGCCTTGAACTCATGGCAATCCTCCTGCCCCCACTTCCCAAGTACTAGGCTTACAGGTGTGTACTACCACACACAGCTTCAGCATGGTTAAATTCTTGGTAAACAAAATACATATTTTGCTGGTGAATGGTGCATATGGGTAACATATACTATAGATTGTAGTCACATAGCATGCTGGGTTGGAAGTGGGAGCAATACCTGTTATTTGTGTGCTGTAGATTAAAGGAGCAGCTTCAAAATCTTTCGAAGAGAAATAATTCACTTAGGAGCTCCATGGGGCAGTGGGGGTCGGGGGAGAGGGGCATGCTGCCAAGAAATGAGAGTCTTGGGCTTTATGACTTCTTGAATGTTTCAGATCCCCTTCAGGCTACTATTGAAGTTTGATCTTAACAAAATTATTTTAGAGAACCTGAAAAAGATTAACTGCATAAAATATACCTTAGTTCATAAAATCTAAAAAGCTATTAGTTGTAAGATGTCCTATTATTTTATACATCAGTAAAATAAAAAGGTAAGGAATTCAAATACATTTTTAAAATTAATTAATTAATTAATTAATTTTCCCAGTACCAGGGATTGAACTCAGGATCTTGCGCTTGCAAGGCAGGTGTCGTGCCACTCAGCTAAATTCCTGGCCCTTCAAATACATTTTATTGAATATGAGATGTTAAAATGTAAGGAAACAATTGTGGCTATTTGGTATTTCTATGGCTAAGCCTGCCAAAGCCAGAGTTGGAACCAGTTCTGATCCCTGAAAGATCAGCAGAGTTGCAGATTGTGTTGACAGTTCTAGTTCACAGATCTGAAGTCCTTAAAAATGATGGTATCTTTACTAGGTTTCTGTTGTACTGTCAAAATCATCCAGTCAATACATATATGTCTTTCTCTTTTTTGTTTCCATTCTGTAGCACTTCTCTGACACAGTGACAGCCTTTAATGAGAGCTCCTGTTAAACTTTAGGTTGCAAACACATCAGAGTCCAGTCTTCAGCTTTATATTTTACCTAGGACACTACAGTTTCACGGCCTCCTCCTTTCACCTTCTCTTTTCTCCCTCCCTTCCTCACTTTCTTCCCTTGATCTCTCCAGAGATGGAGTTTCGCAGTGAGTAATCTTTGACTTTATGAATCCTTTAGAACTTTGTCGAGAAGAACAGATAATTCACCTCAGCTGATCATATAATTTGAATTTCTCACTTTTCCTTTCAGAAAGGGGCGGGGTGTCAAATTTGGTGCAGGTGATACAGCTCTGAGGCAATATGCCAGACGAGGCCAGCACTTCGAGAAATCGCCCTCTAACTGTTCTGTGTATTTGGATAGGTAAGTAGCAGAAGTGGCCTGCTTTGGATGGCGGGTGTGGGGGGGACTCTAGGCATGCAGTTTTTAGAGAAAGTTATTATGCTGTGTATACTAGCTTGCTATTTTGAGCTCTCTAAAAATAGGACTGTGTAGGAAGAATTTACAACACGGAAAGTTTGACATGAGTCATAAGCCTGTCACCATTATCCTTATTAGACTAGTTATATGAAACCAAACTTCTGAAAGTGGCAAGTAGTTGAATTTTCCTCTTATTAAAATGTTCTTGAAAATTAATTCACTTTTCAATTGATGAAAGCCCTTGAAAAAGGAAAAAGAGGAATTAAAATAAAAGCTCTGAAAAGCTTGGGACCTTTGAATTTCTTAGCTTTCAGTATTTTGGGACCTGGTTCTTTCATGGCACAATTTTTATATGGTAACCCTTAGCACCATACAGTCTTTTTAAAAAAAAGTTATTTAAAATTGGTTGTAAGGTGTTTGTAGATTTGTATTGTAGTAACATTTATGGAATATCATCTGTGTACTGAGCGTTGTGTGGAACCTTCAAACTTGGTATTATTATAGAGAGACACTTTACACTGGAGGAAGTAAGGCCCACATAGTCTAAGTGTTGCAAAACTGTGAATCAAACATAAGTTGCCTGCTTTCAAGTTCTGAACATTTAATACTGTATCATAACTAGCTTAATTATGGTATTCATATTTTTATATATTCATTTTAATGTACATATTTTACTGTGTTTATACAAAGTAAAGCAAAGAAAAGATATTCAAGGACATGAATTTAAGTTTTAAAACTCTTTACTCTGGGAGTAGAATCTGTCATACAATAATCTGATATATGAAATAGGGCAAAATTTTGTTAATTTTGTTAATGTAGCCATTCAATGTTTGATGACCTACTTGATAAGATGCTTTATTTGGTGCTGGTAGAGAAATATTGACTCCTTTCTTGTGTTCTAAGTGGATGAACTAGTGAGGAGGACAGATTTTAAAAAAGTAAATCATTAAAATTTGGGTATATGGTGTCAAGAAAACAAATGGATTTCATAGTGCAGAATAATGGGGTAGGATGGTAAGGAAAGACTTCATTAAGGAGGTGACATTAAGGATAAGAACTGAAGATTGAGATTGAAGAGCCTAGAGAAGATTGTACCACAGCCGGAACACAGAGGTGCAGATCAGGGCAGTGCTCAAAGTGCTGTGGGGCCAGGCCTTGGGTGGTAGTGAGGTACAGGCAGAAGGAAGGTCAGGGGCCCAAAGGTTGGAGCTTAGAGGCTTCAGGGAGGAGCTGTACTTTATAGTGTAATGTGATGCCTTTGATTATCTAATTTGCTTGTTTTACCTTCAGCTTTCCTCTGGAAGGAGGGGAGATGGAGAGAATGACAAATTTGGTTGTATTTGAAGGTGTAACAAATATCACTCACTTATGAACTAGATGTTGGTATGAGGGGAAGACAGATATCAAGTAAGAACCTGAAACTTTTGGGTTAAACCAATGAGTAAATGGAGGTACAGCAGATTGGGATGGGGAAGAATCAGGGTCAGCAGCAGAAGAGTCACAATAATGGGAAAGGAGTTATGCCAGGTGGCAGTGGGTATGAGTCTCATTCAAGGAGAAATCTGCAGGGAGTTGGCTGTCCTGGAAGTGGACAGAGGGTCTTGGGGAAAGAGCGGAGAAGAGAAGCAAAGGTGGCTCGAGTAAGCATGGAGGAACTAGGATGCTGAAAAGCAACTAAAGAGCCAGAGAAGACCTGCAAGGTCCAAGAAGTCCAGGAGAGGGAGTATTGAGTAAACCAGAAGAGGAAGAGATTGCTGTAAAAACAAGAGTGATCCCCTCTCCGGCTAGAATGGGCAGAGACAGCAGGGAAACTGTAGATAGCCTTGAAGAACTTTCTCAGGTCAATGGAGAGATTCACACTGAAATACATGAAACAAAAAATTAGAGTCATGCACCTAGAGGCAGAAGATATAGGCAAGTTTTTGTTTTCTTTTGTTCCTTCCCAGAAGTTTGGCGGTGAAAAAGGTATCATAGAGGTTGTAGGATAGCTGGAGAGAGTTTGGGGATCAGAGGAATCAAGGGAAGAGTATAATGTTAGGATGAGATATTTGGGGGGAGTTTTCAGATGCTGATGTCAATGATTCAGAAGATAGAGGCAGGAATGGAAGGCTGAAGTACTTGGGGATGAGGGTGGGGACCCAGAGGACAGGTTGTTTGACAGGAGGAAATGAGCAATCTCCATTGGATTGGGCAGGGATGGGGTTTATAGAGGCAAGAAATTGGAGTGGGTCTCTAGTATGAAATTGTGATGAGAACATATTCATATTTGAATTCCGTAGTCCTGGAAATGAACATGCACAAATTAACTTAGCATGTCTCAGGAAGCTCAGTGGCCTAAAGCAGAATTTTCATGCTTTGAACTTCTTTTTCCTACTCCTCACCTTCCTCTTTCCCTGTCATCCCCTACACCAACCCCAATAACTATGTGAAACTATGAATGTGAAATAACTAGCATTCAGAGAAAGCTATAGGTCTAATATAGGTTTAAACATTGATTGTTCCCGCTTGGAGGCAACCCTATGAACAGTATGTAGAACTCTTTAATCTTAGCCATTTTAACTATTTTCTTTTATCTCACCAAAGAATAATACATAGTTCCTTGAGAGAGGCAGTGAAATCCTGCTTGTTGTCTCATAGTTTGTGAACATTATTAAAATGCTCAGGAAGTTATCATTCTGTGCCCTTGGGTCTCCTTCCTGGTTATGTCATGAGAATTGTAATAACCAGAAAACTTTAATCAAGAAAATAATTGAAGCTGAGGTTATAGCTTGACTCTTATATAGGAGGGGTCTGTTTATGGTCTCTATTTAGAGATGAACAGCTGGTTGTTTTCTGGGTAATTTGTAGACTAAGCACTGGTCCACTTGTCTGATTTTTCCCTCTCTGTCTCAGAATGCCTTCAGAAATCTTGCTGAAGATATTTTCCTACTTGGATGCTGTGAGCCTTCTGTGTGTTGGCTGTGTGAACAGGCGCTTTTATCATTTGGCTAATGACAAGTAAGGAGAAAACTAAATCTCTCTGTTATATTTTAATGACTGTTTTATAGAAGTTATGAAAAAATAAAGCCTCTATTTTTAAAATTTAAGATGATTTAATAGTACTTTTAGGCACAATGTCTAGTGCTGTATGCAGTCATATGATATTTTCAGATAATTGCATTTATATGCTCAAAGAAAGGAATATTCTTTGCATATATTGAAAATGATCAAGCTGTAGTTGTTGAAGAGTGCAGCTTTGGGGTGCTGCCCTGGAGTGTTAGCTGTGCTTACCCAGAACTGGAGAGACTTACCAGTATGATCTCAAGCATGCTGCAGGGCCCTGTCCCATTGTTCCTGGCCCAGAATTCCCACAGCAGATTGTGTGGTTTCTTCTGGAAGTCAAGCAGATCCTAGAGGAGGAAGCAGAATGGGACCGGTTAAATAGATTTAGCTTCTTGAGTGAAGGAGGGGAAGAGAGAGGTCCTGAGTGTCTTCTGGGGCTACCTTTGGAAGCAGAGAGCCAGTCCTACCTGCACTCCCTGGGTACCTATGAATAAAGAAGAGAAACTCGTGCCACTGTTTTTTCTTTCTTTCTTTTTTATTTTTCATGATCTTTATCTGCACCTGAGAAATTTTTCTTCTGTAGAGAGATGGTGGAATCTTTCTTCCAGTGAGCATTTTGTACCCATAACTGAACATCTTAGGTTTTTAGACTCCTCTCTCATTCAACATCAAGATTATACAAATATCAATCCTTCATAGAACCTACATACCACTAGGGAAAACTCCAAATAAGAGGGAATGCAAGTTTTAATGGTGGTTTTAATAGACAAGGGAAAGAAGAAATGAAGAATAACAGCAAAAGGGCTGTAATGTTATTTAATTTTGGAACATAGTGGGTATTATGGTTTATGTCTAGATGTCCCTGCAAAACCTCATGCACTCATATGTAGGGCTTTGGGGAGCTGATTGGTCTTGTTTTGGTCCCATTCTTTTCTATCCTCCTAGTTCTTCCTTTTGGAATGGGAATGTTTATCCTGTATCATTGTATGTTGGAAGTCTTTAACTTTCTTTTCATTTTTATGGTGGCCCTCAGCTAAGAGTTTGCCTTAAATCTCAGAGGAGAGTTTGAACTTAACTATTAGGACTTTGGCAACTCTTAGAGATGGACTAAATGCATTTGCATAGAGATGTGCATGAGTCTTTTGAGGGCCAGGGGAGAATGTTGTGGTTTATATCTAAATGTCCCTCCAAAGCCTCATGTGCATCTTTATGCAAAATGCACTCATGGTAGGACTTTAGGGGGTGATTGGATCATGGGGACATGATACTCATCAGTGGATTAGCTTACTGATGAATTTATAGATAATGTGATATTGGGTGGGAGAAGTTGGGTCACTGGCATCCTCCCTTGATCTCTCTCTGCTTCCCACTTGCCATGCCATTAGCAGTTATCTTTTGCCATGCTGCCTTGCCTTGGAGCCAAGTGAAACCTCTACAAGCTGTGAGACAAAATAAACCTTTCCTTTTTAAAGTTGTGGGTGTCAGATATTGTGTCTCAGTGATGAGAAAGTTACTAAGACAGTGGGCAAGGACTGTTACATCGTACAGTGGTTCTCAAATTCCAGTCCATACAAGACTGAATCAGAACCAGCTGCAGAAGTTTTAAAACTTGGATTCCTAGCCTGCATTTCTGAAGGTTGTAATCTAGTGCTCTGGAGTCTGCATTTTAAATATTTTTCAGATCATACTAATGAATAGTGAAGTTCTGAAATTACCAATACAGTGCATCTTTGATTTTATGTGTCTGCCAATTGAATAAGGAACTCAGAATATGCGCTTTTCTCCCTTTGAGTCTGTCTTCAATTATCTCCTACTCAGAATGGGGACATATACTGTTCTGTGGTTGGGAAAGGGTGTTTTTTCCTGTCTTAATTAAAAAAAAGATCTTTCCTATGTGGAAAATGTCTTTCCATCCACCCATCCATGTCAACACTCACAAATGAGTGAAAAAATCTTATTTTTGACAGTAGTTCTAGAATGAATGTAGATAATTTTTTAATCATCTAGAAAGAGATGAAGATGTTCACTAAAGCAAAATACATGAGCGATTTTTTTTCATGGAAAATTGGCCAATGTCCAAAACTGCAGTGTTGTGAAGAGTTCTCAAAGATACTGTTAAAAAGCATCTTAAACTTAACATTTTTAATATTTTTACATTTTTATTTTATAAACAATCAAGGGGAACAACCTAATACTGTATATATATTTGGAGGGGCGTACTGGGAGTTGGACTTAGGGCCTCATGCTTTCCAGGCAGGTGCCGTGCTGCTGAGCTATATCCCTGGCTCATTATTTTATACCATAATATAAGATTTTTTTTAGGGTTCACTTGTGGTAAATTAACTGTGATATATCTGAATGTAGCTCATCATTCATACAGGGTGGGCTGTAGTCACAGCTGCTGACAGTGTGCTGACTGCTCTGATCCCTCTCCATGGTGGTGTCGTTCTTGTAGTTTGTGAGGACTACATCAGCATTAGCAGTGGTTTGGTCATGCTGATGTGGGAAATTTGGGGTTCCTTAAAGGTCTTGCTAAAGCAGGGAACACTTAAATAGAATGAGATGCTGAGAAAAATAAACCAGAGCAAAACATGAGCAAGCTTTTATGCACAGGGAGTTTTAAAAAGTGTCTATTCAAGAGACTTTGGTAAAAGAGTTTCAGATTTTCCTACATGGATTCCAATAATCATATGACTCCACTAATCTACTTTACATATGAACGACCAGACATTTGACATTTCTGAACTCAAAATATAAATAATGCAACTACTTAGTGTGAAGTGATTTTGTGGGGGTGAGGAATGATTTGAGAAAACCCACCAGAAAGAGAAGTCAATAGGTGTGTGATATATGTGAGTTCATGTTTGCTGAGAAATCACGTAATGTCTGAATCAAGGAGATGTAATCTGAAATCCTGTGTTTGAGGAGAGATCCTTTCCTGCTGCAGCAAATGAAATGATTATTTCTCTCTGGGTACCTGTAGTGTCTCTAGCACACTTCTGGAGCTCAGAATTATCTTCTTTATTAGGGGATTGTTTTCTCCCAGCAGCCAAACTTCTCTAAAGAGAAATGTGGAGACATAAATTGGCAAATGATTATATTTTATTTATGAAAATTTCACCTTTCAGATTAGGAAATTAATTTCAAACTCTGCCTCACTTTCCCCTAAATGTTAATTCTTTCCCCCCCATGGAAAATATTGGCTGAGATTGAGGAGCCTTGAGTCCAGCTTTAAGCCCACCCTGTATGGGGAATTTCTCATGACCTGTTGGTAGCAGTGAGTGAAAGGAGCTCAGACCTTGTCCAAGGGGAATCTGAATTCCACCAATTGACTTATTGACTGGGAATATGGTTAACTTACTCAGTTTCTTTAAACCCAATTCTTTATGTTTTTGAAGAGGAAGTGAAGCACTGGGGTGAAGATTGTGAGCTCTCGTTGAGACTGCGTGGCTGCAAATCCCAGTTCCATCACATACTTGCATGCACTCATCTGGGCCAGAATACTTTACATCATCTGTACAATGAGGACAAAAGAACAGCTCCTCATGTGTTTGTTATGAATATTGAATGACTTAATGTTTATGGAGTGCTTAAAACAGCACTCAGCAAATAGCATGTACTCAAAAAACCTTGTCATTGTTATTACAAATGCTCATTTAAAAAAAAAACTGGGAAAACAATGCATGTTGATTGTTGAAAAATTTAAAAATGAGAAACAAGATGGATGTATAATTCAGTTATTCACTGTTAATATTTCTTTGTTTACATGTCTTTTCTGATCTTTTCAAAAGCATTTATCTATATAAAAGAATCACACTATGTATAAACTTTCTATTGTTTTTCTAGTACAATACTGTATAGACCTTCTATAGGAAGGCAGAGGTTTGAACAATCCCAAATAACATGATATTGCTCACTTTAAACTTGATGTGTAGAAACAGGCTTTTTTAGTGTGTTTTTGGGGTTGGTGAATCTAAAATACTTTTTCAAACTGCAATTCATTTTAACACATGAATAACCGTAAATGTTCAGCTTGACTTACTCTTGTAATTGGACTATTTAAAAATTATTGTGCATTTCTAATTTAATATATTACTATTACATTAGACAGTGTTTCTTAGTTAATGTATTTTCTCCTTTTCCCCCAGTTTTATTTGGGTCAGAATCTACTCAATAGCATTTTCACCTAAAAGATCTATTTGGAAAGTTAATTCAATGGAGGAGACAACTGTGTCTGTGAGCTTACTATCAGTTGAGGATAAGGAAGCTGGATATTGGAAGAAAACCTATATCACAAAACAAATCACATCTGTGAAAGCAGCACTAGCCCAGGTTCTCAAACCTATCAGCCCTTACACAGGCCTTCCCGTGAAAACCAAAGAGGCCCTGAGGTATGCAGTGTGTTCTTGCACAGTAGCTTGCGAGGCTCTTGAACAGAACTGTGAAATTTTTCAGCTTGCAACCACTTTAGAAAAGAATGACAGTATCAGCTGAGAGAGTTATGTACGTAGGACAGATATACAGGTTAGATTGTGTAGGATTGTCTCTGATATTTTTGTGTATTTATATCATATACAGTATTTTCCTATTTCTTATATATGGCCTTATTTATGAAGCAGGAGTAGGCTAGTGATCTGCTGTAGTAAATAAAGGGTGCTCAAGGTATTCTTCTTCCTGGGAAGAATCTTTGCCTTACTTATTGGTGCATTGCTGGTTCCTGGAACATCATAGATGTATAGTGAGTGTTTGTTAGGTGAGAAGGGAAAGTCTAAAGAGGGAACCGTTGGTCCACTGAAAATTATGTTGGCCATATTTTGAGAATTTGGATTTTGGCTTTTAAGGAAATAAATGTTTTGGAGATAATAGATAAAATTACCTTTAGGATTTTTTTCTGCAATGAAGTAAACATTTTTAACTTTCTTTTCTTTCTGCAGAATATCTGGCTTAGGTTGGGCAATTATATTGAAAGAAAAGAGTGGAAGAGAATATATCATGCCACATGTTGATCTTTCCTTAAATGATACATCTGTTACTGTTGTGTGGTATGGCACAGATTGGCCATGTTTAGCTACCTTGTCAACCTTGAATTTGTGTGGTACGACACCAGTTTTTATGGAACGATATAAAGCCCCTGCCAAAAATGGGTAAGTACTGTCCGCACAACTGACAGTGAGAACATCTTACATGTAAATATTAGATAGCACTGCATTTGTAATTTAAAAGTACAAATTAGTTTGATTGCATCTTTAAGACTTTTCTGTCATTCTCTGATATTGTAGAATAGAGAAAAATAAATTTGTCACACTTATGATTAAGTTAAAAATTGTCATCAAGTTCAGGAACAGTAGACACCATAGTGACAAATGCTGGAAAATTCATTGGGAGATTCGTTTAATGTAATTTGTTTTCATTAAAACTGTATTGACTTCAGCTGGCCTTTGATCAACTTTGTTAAACAACACTAAAAGTGTTTTTCAGGAATCTGTTTTGATCAGCATTTCAGTGCAAATTTGTGAGCCAACACATTCATCATGGAGGAGTGAAGGTCCTTGTCTAAAATGTGTGACAGCCGAGAAGGCACTTTTTTTTTTGGTACACTTTTGACTTTTATTTGGGTCTCTTTTGTTTCCTCGTTGAGAATCTTTGCAGGAACAGTGAAAGACCCACTGACGTAACTTAAAATTGAATTTTCCTATAATGCCCCTTTATAGATGGACTCCCAAGTTTTCTTCTTTGCTCGTTCTCCATTGTACAGTTGATCCTGTGCCCCCCCCACGTTTGTGAGAGTGGTTGTATACATGCCAGCCCCAGTACCTGCATTAGTGGTCTGCAAGACCAAAGCAAATGAAGGCTCTGCATGTCCTCAAAATCTCTTTAAATGGCTCCACAGCCAGACTTATGAGTATTTTCCATGTCTGAAAACACTGAAAAGTGAGAGAAGAGGATTCTTTACATCCCTAACCTCCTTTCTTCACCTTAATAATGATAATGACAATGACTACTATTTGAGCACTTGTTATGTGCAAGGAGGCTGATGATTTCACACACAGAGAACACCAGTCTGTGATGGTGTGCTGTCACTTAGATTGGAGCTAAGGTTTCACTTTAGTTTCCTCTGAATCCACTATTAGTTCACTAGCTCTGTGTTCATCCTCTTCCAAGTACATTCTACTGAGCTGAGCAAATTTTAGGCTTATATATTATATGCATGCTCACTGACCACTTCACCTTAACCACATTGTAGATCTTAGTACAAGGAGTTTCTTTTTTTTTAACTGTATATCATTTTATTGGTACATTTTAGTTATACAATATAATGACATTTATCATTGGAAATCTGCACCTTTACAGTCTCTCCTGGTTCTTATTTTTTGCCCCTTCCCCTGCCCTCCCTTCCACCCCTCCATCCCTCCCTATTTACAAAGACTTTGTTTCTACTTTTTCATTTTCTCATATTAATTCCATTCCCTTCTTTCCTTTCC